AGTGGAGATAGAATAAAGCAACTTTTTTATTTTTTATTTTATTTTTTGGGGGGGTTTGTTCTCCCTGGAGAGAATTGGAGTTCCCTTTATTTCTTCCTGCCTCTGCTACGGGTTATTTTCTCTGTGTGTGTGTCGGCGCGTGTGCACGCGTGCGTGTTTGTAAGAAGTTTGAAACAGGGTTTTTTTTATTTCTGAGATATTGACGTTTTCAATGGATATCTCCAAGAATAAAATCAAGCTGAGACTAATAAAAGTTTTAAAAATTGGCAAGGTTCTTAAAAGCCTCAGTTGTTACTCCTACATAGCTGTCTCCTGTCGGTTAAAACATAATTTAGCAGAAAGCTTGCTTGTATAAAAGAAAAAGAATGTTGCCAGGCCACAGAGAAATATTTAAAACAGTTGAAAGAGAATTTTAACAGCAGAGGATTTTTTTTTTTTTGGAGAGGGAGGGGAAGGGTGGGATGGGGATGAGTGGTTGTGAGCGACGGGGAATTTCCTCTGCATGTTCAAGTCCTGACTGAAATAGCACCGTTACTGTATTCATATGTAGTACCTTTTAAAAAAATACTATTTATATTGTACAAAACAAAGTGTGTTTCCTCCCCCCATATTCAGATGATGAGTTATGTTTAAACGTGAACCTGGAACTGTAGAATGCCCTTCCTTGTTGCAGGGGTTCTCCTTTTTTTTTTTTTTTGTTTCTTTTTAAATCCCTCTTTTTGGTTTAGGAATGACTTGTGCAGATTATCTCTAATGACCATATTGATGGCCTCTGTGCATCAGACTATTGAAAAGGAAATAGGAAATGCACATTCCTACCCTCCCCTTCCTCCAGTGAAATATATTTGTAAGTGTCTGATTATGTGCTATAAAAATACTGATTTTTTTCCCTAGATTAAGGATGTGATGTATTTTTTGCCTACTTATTTTTTTTCCCGCTGCCTCTAGGTTCATAATGAATTAAAGGCTGTTGAGCACTTCAGAATTACAATTTTTGGGGGGTTGAAGTCTCTTCATTTCTAAGATTAAAGGCTTTTGTGCTGCAGGAGAAGAAAGCTCTCAGAGATCTGGTTTGTAACGATGACTGATTACCTGAGCAAGAGAAGCCAAGACTCATAAACAGGAACATGGTCTTTTCCTTCCGCTCTGTTAATCACGCAGAAGAGCTTTCGCACCCCCTCCCAAAATTAAGAACCAAGCTTGCAATGTATTTTTGGTCCAAGGCCCAGGATTCGCTTTAGCTGGATTTCTCATAAAAACAGCAGTTGCTAAATAGCCAGAGGTGATTCTAAAATCCTTATTTTTTACATCACCAGGTTGCTCTGCCTGTTGGGAGCCTGCCTCGTAGCCTTCCAGTAGCCTTTCTCTCTAGCCCTTGGAGGTCATGCTGACATTGAATCTCTTGAAATAGCATCTTCGTGAACCTTCTTTTAAACACCTCCATTCCCCTCTCTAAGCCCTAATACTTTTCTACAAATTCCTCTCAAATTGTTGCAGTATGAGGCTAATGCTGCAGAACACGTAAAAGAAAAGGAATCTGCAGCTTCCAGTCCTTTGGGGCTTAATAGTTTTTCTTGAGATAATCTGAGGAATCACTAGTGGGAAGGAGCTGCTGATAAATCCGTTGGAATTTACACCCGCACCGAGCTTACCTATGAATTTAAGGTCTGCTATATTGCTGTAATAAGAACAAATATAATTTTAAAGATGTGGTAAGAAGCATTACATGCTTCTAAGTAACTGCCCGGATCAGTCATCAAAAGCCAAGGTTCAAAACTTTCTATCACAGCCTCGCGGAGTGCGATGAGCTTTGTCACACAAACCTCCCAAAGTCACTGTGGTTTTCTGTTCCTAGCTGAGATTGCTGCACTCAAATATAGATGATGTGGAGTTATAGGAAATGGTGCTGTACCCAGGGAGTTGATGTGAGTACTACGAGTGCTGTAGCGAAGAGCTTTGCTTCCTGTGCTTTCCTCTGTCTACACTTAAGCACCGTTTGGGGCTGGATGAAAGACTGTAGATGAGCGCAACTCATTAGCCTTTTCTTCTAACCTCTCTGCCTTTCTCATCCCTGGAGAAAGTGAGTTTGTGTCTGGCTCCAAATGATGCAGCTGCCTCTCTTGCTGAGGCAACTTGCAGTCCTTTTACTTTTCAGTTTCTTCACCTGTACCAACGCCATCCTCGGGAGGCCCTGCTGGTGTCCCCTTGTCCCACGGCATGGTCACGGGCATCATCAGTGCGTGGTCTCCTGCCTGGCACTCGGCCCTGCCCTGCAGGGAGCTTTTCAGAGGACACAGCCATTAGCAGACCTGCTAAGGTGAGGACAAGATGCCCCTGTGCGATGCTTTGGCTTGTGCAAAGGACCGCACTACAATTTCTCCTTGCTGCTTTGCACAAGTCCAACTTCTCTTGGGCTGGTGAACAGCGGGGTGTCCTTACGGCAAACAGCTGCTCTGAAACGTGCAGCACAGAAGCTGATAAAACTCCCTGAGTCAGTGTCACCAACTGCCACGTGCACAATGAAGACATTTTGTGATAATTGCTGGCAGCAATGAAGGGACGGGGATCATCAGGCTGCTTGTATCTACCGTGAGGTCAGCAGAGACTTCTGCTGTCTGCCTGGTGAGTGGAAGAGGGGACAGAGAGAGATTTGTTAACACCTGGTTGGGTTGAAGAATAATCCTTAGCTTGGGAAGGAGAAATGGAGGAGATGCCTTATTTTCTTTCTTCATAAGGGACAGGAGTATTTAGCAGACTTTAAAAGCAGCGGTGTTGGTTGGGGTGAGGCTGTTGTCCCTTGACTTCTGCTGGGACAGAGCGGACAGCCCTAACTTCCAAAAATGTGGATTCCACGTTTACCATTTTGTCCTTTGCTGTCCCATCATACTGTCACTCTAGAAGATGCCTTGTGGTAGCTTCTAGTCCTACTGAAACAATTCTTGCAAGCGCCTTGCTGCAATCTCCAGCATGCAGATCTGTGCAAGCACGTTCCCACGTGGCGGTTTGTGGCTTTCCCATCCACGGCCTCTCCTGGCTTCCAGCGTCGCTGCCGGTACATGGGAGGGTAAAGAGAGCTCCCAGGCACTCCCTCTTTGATGTGCTTGCTTCCTTTCTGCTTTGCTTTTGTGACCGTTTATTTTAGGGAAAGAGCAGATGATGGAAAAACATCGTCACATGCTGCAGACATCTGTGCTTTGGCCAGTTCTGCAGAACTTCTATTTCTTAAGGTTATTCTGTGGGGATTTTTCTCTGTTCCTCTTCCCTCACTGTTCACATTAGTTCTTCATCAGTTGTTCTTCAGCTTGAACAAATTGCACCAGTTTACTAAAACTACTCATTAAACAGGTGCAATTCTCTTCTGGAAGAATGCCCTTATTTTGGTTGGAGCGCTTTCTTTGGGGAGTTTTAGCTTCAGATAATCAGGAGCAGTTTTAAACTCAACTTTGCTTTGAACCTGGGAATGCCGTTTTAGTTTAAAAGCAATTTGAGTTAACTAGCAGAACTTACTAGGGCATGTCTTCCCTGGTAGTGGGCGTCCTGTGACTCAGGGCTATGAGGAAGGCAGTGAGAGATCAGCACGTTGTTTCTGCCGCTTCTCTCTCTGGCTTGGATTTTTCCAGAGCACAAAATGAAGCCTTTCCTGCAGCAGGTCCTTTTGCTAGTACTGCAGTGGGCAAGTCCTTGCTACTTTTCTTGTTGGGGCTTCTTTTCCCCGTGCTTTATACAGCTAAAGGTAGTCTAGTGAGCTTTTCACACCCTTTTAAAAATAATTCCAACAATCGCAACATCAGAAGCCCCATTTTGGACTGAACTGCAAACGGACCAAGTCAGAAAGTGCAGGTTTGCAGCAGATGAGGTTTTCCAGGCACGTGATTATACTTTGATGGATTAAAGCAAGGAGGAGCACTGCACGGAACCTGCCAAGTGCCAGAGCTGTCCCTCTCGTACCCTGGCAGGTGAGAGAACAGTTCCTACACCCTCCTGCAGTCTGACACGTCCCAGACACCTCCCAGGGCGCTTGTCTTTGCGCCTGTCCGTGGGATGCTGTGACTTCAGCTTCATAGTGCCTGGGCTAGAAGGACAATTTGTCCTTTTACCTCATTACAGGTTAACGAGGAAACCCTGTACTGAGTTTAACCCTGAGCAGTGTAAACCATCTCAGCTTCCGAGCATCTAATAGCAATAATACTCACGGGTGCTCCTCGAGGGGGCTGACTGCCTGCTTTGCCAACCAGAATTTCATGGGAAGAAAGGTTGAACAAGCTTCTTAAGACCCTAGCAAAAACACTCAGAATGAGTTTTTGTGGGTTCACTGATTTCCAGCCCCGTTTCCAGGCCATCTCGGGGCTCTCACCTCATCAACAACCATACTGGTGCACACAAAAAAAAAGCACAGCAACTTTGGCAAAGGGCCACGGCTGGAATGAGCTGGGGATGTTGAGCTGGAATGGTCTGGCAGCTTTGATAGCAGAAAAAAGATAACCGCTCGGTTTATTTGCACACCAATAGAAAATCACTGGGAGTTATTTATTCTGCATTAGAGGAGCAAAACAATTAAATTTTTTGTTTCCAAGAGGGGAAATGGAAAGGTCACTGTGTAAACACTGTTTGGAATTACATAGCGACCACAGCTTAGCCATTTTTCCTGTGGAATAAATAAGAATTTGGCTGTGTTTCAGCACAGTTGACTTTGGCTTACCTCTATACTCTAGTCTTGCCATTTCAGATGCCAGCTGCTAATATCCTCCAGCGAATGAGCTCGTAGCCAAACTGTCTCTGAAACAGGAGTGATACCCTCCCCTGTGCCCCAGATCATGGTTTAAAAATAAATAAATGGACAGATCCACTGCTCATCTGCTTCATTTAACGGAGCCATCTCTTGAAAACACAGCAAATTTTCTTTGATTAGGAACGAATGGTCAGTAACCCATGATGCAAGCCAAGATGCTGCCGCTGTTTGGAATAACAGGGATTCATCTGCCTGACTAGCAAGATCAAATCTGACTTGATTGCAGGTACAGAAGGGTCACTGGACAATTTTCTACGTGGAGAAGCAATGAGGTGGGGGAGAAGGGCCGTTGTGCTGGTCCGATCTCCTGGTCTCTCTGCTTAGAGCTGAGGTTTATTTCTTTTTGTTATCTTAATAGCTCAGAACCACTAGAGGATATCCAGGCTGAGGAAGTGGTGCATCTGATTAATCTGGGATTCAGCTGTAACATGGAATTAGCGCTACAATCCCGTAGCTGTGTGTCCTGTGTTGGGTGATTAATGTGAGATTTTTGTCCATGTCAAGTGAAAAATCTGCCTGAGTGCCACTGTTGCTGTGAGATCCCACTGCTCAGGGATGTTTCTGTTTTACAGGAACAGTTCATCACAAGCTTTTTGTGACTAATTCTGAGTGTAGAAAATTGGCTGCTTATTAAATGTTATTATTACTCTCACTTCTGTGGCATTCTGAAATCGAGAGCACGGTCCATTTTATCCAAATTAATTTCTCTGTAGTTTTCCTCAGCAGGGAGAGGCATCCTCAGATTTGCAGATGACACGACGTGGTTGTGGTGCTCTGCATTGAGCAGTGTCATGCTGACCTGTTGCAGTGGCTGGATTTGAGCTCCTCTCCACTCCCCCCCCCCCCCTTTTTTTTTTTTAATTGCTGAATGATTTCCCAACATTTGTGTGATAACGCTGGAGAGGGAACCCCAGCATCGGGCCTCTCTGCCCCACCACCGATTGCACTTGTAGGTACTTCCCTTGATTTTGGACGCCCTTTTTATGATTTTACAGGATTTATACTCAAAGCACAAAGACCAAACTTCATCTCTATTTATAGCACTGCCAGAATCATGGCAATATTTCACTCCCAGCAGGTGATTGACTGAAAAGATGGGGGAAAAAAACACGCTATCTTACCTCTGGTGCACTGCTTTGTTTTCTTAACGCAGTTCCCATTGCAGCCTGTACTCTCTTTGCTGCTTCTGGTCTTCAGCTGGGCAGTATTTTTAACCTTTGTGCCTCTCTCTTCTACACCAATAAAAAGGAATGTCCCCTTGGGTTTCTTTTGTCAAGACCACAGCGTGGCTGGGCCCTTGCAGCCCCCCGATGCAGTGTGAATGCAGCCTGTCAGTGTCTTGTCACCTCTCTAATGCGCTTCTATTTACTGCCATAATCAGCGCCACTGAAAGGCAAGGCTGAACTGCTACTATTAAATATAATTGTCACCGTGACAGGTCCATTGTGGGGTAGAAAATCTGTGCCTTTCAGAGCTGTCTCTCTGATAAAGAGCAGTGGTGAAATCAGAAACGAATCCCCAGGCTCCACGCTGGCGTGGCGATGGGGCCTGGGCCTCCGGAGGCTCTGAGTGGCGAAGGCCGCTCATGATGTCCCTGGCTGTTGTCCCCTGCATGAGTCGAGGAATGCACAGCATTAACCCTCCTCTCCTTTGCTCCTCTGCAGATCTACCTGCCATGGACACCACGGCCGTGTTCCTGCTGTGGGAGGCTTCCAGGCAAGGCTCAGGCCTACAGGGTGAGGCTGGGCCTACCAAGGAGGAGTGCTTGCAAAACCCCAGCCACAGGTGAGTGAATTCCTGCCACAAAGCCCTTCAGGTCGTGACTGGTTGTTTTACATTGAGGTGTCTCACTGAGAAATGGGGAATCTGGCCCCTGATGACTTGGGCTGAGGCTCTTCCCTCCCATGGTATGTGTGATCCCAAATGACAGTGCCAAAATTAAAGGAGAATTGTCACTGGTATCGGTAGCGCTAGTGTTACCAGAGTACTAATTACAGTTGAGAAGACACTTCCCTTACCAACCCCTACTTCAAGCTCCTTATTGCTACCTTAGAAAAGTAGTATTGCAGTGTCCTGTGTGATGTATTTTGGAGACAAAGTTGGATGACATTCAATTTGTCTGTTGGTTTTCCTCTCCCAACTTCTGCCTGGATACAGCTGAGCATAAAAAAAAAAACCCTCGGCTGAGAAGGTTTTATAGTTGCACCAAGATCCCTAAAGCAGTTTCTCCTAAAATATTCAGGCTTAGTCACCAGTGAGGATGCGTAGCGTAGCTCTAAGATTTGGAAACTGTGTGCGGATACAAATGCGCAAAACGCCTACAGCACAGCACCTGGCACCTGAAGCCTCTGTCAGTGCAGGGGGGGAAAAGAGCACGAAATGAGCTCCTTGGAGGCGCAGCGAGCTCTGCAGCAAGCAGGGCTGTCTGCTGAGAGCCAGCACGTCCCGCTGGAGGTTCCTGATGCTGAAGTTCATCCTGACACTGCCTCCTGGCTCAGTACGGCACTTTGCTTGTCTGAGCCTCGGTTTCTAAATCTGTATGGTTAATGGTTATAATCTTTCCTTTCTGCCGTTCTTTTCCTTCTTATTTTTATGTCAGTTCTCAGTAGGGGAAGTTTCTTCTTTTTAACAGCCTTGCTTTCAATTTAACAACTCTCTGCTTTCCTGTAGAAAATTGCAAATAGATTCTCCCAGCTGCTTTCTTCCTACACCGGGTTAATTTCTTTCCTTGGGACTTAGCGAGGAGAAAGATGCCTGCCACGAGCAGGCTTTCGGTGCTGGGGAGCGTGTTGTCTCCTGCTGACCTGAGCCTCCAAGCCCCTGGCAACCTGGAATTTCCTTTAGGGCTTCTTCCAGTCCAGAGCAAGGTTTTAAAAAAAATTAAATCAAGGTAGCAGAGCCCAACACACTATTTTACACTGCAGTGTTTCTGTGATTTATTAACTCCAGAGTAAATCAGGGAAATGTATGGCATTACATTTTTGTGTTACAGTGGCATCCTGCATACATGATTGGGTTTGAGACTCTGATAGAGGAATAGTAAAGCACAGCTCGGAAAGGCCTGTGCCCTGGGAGTAGTTTGCAGCCTCTGCCACGGAGCTGCAACAGCTCTGCCTAGGACACAGTGAAAATGGGCGATGGAGAAAATAATGAGAACATGTGCTTTCCTGTATGTATGACAGCACGTATAATTATGAGCCTTATGGATATTTTATTTTAGTGACACGGTAGACAAAGAAGTAATAAAGCATCAATGAAAACTTGAGGCAGCTTGCTGCTGATAATGTGGTAGAGGTTCTTCTTAAAGGATTTGGAGTTTACACTTTCAGGGTAAATTTGGGGCAAGAAAATAGAGTATTACATGGTATTTCCTTCACCCTTTGCAGCTGCCTTCTCCTAGTGATAGGCACTCAGCAGTAGGGTGGAATGAGATTAAGAATGGGTAAACTTATTTGGAATGCTTGATTTACTTAAAATTATTATTTGCTTCCAAATCATTTCTACTGTGTTCTAAATGAACACGGTGCTTCCAAAGAGATGGCTAAGCTCAGAAGAAAACAAAACAAAACAGTGAATTTTTTGGCATCTTAAATGTTTTGCGTGTTGGATGCCGTCTCAGATGTCAGGAGCTGAGGTGTGAAACCAGCTTTGGCGCAGGTCCAGCCTCTCCCCCCAGGAAACACAGACAGAAAGGCGTGTGAATTACCCGTGAGAGAGACATCAAATGCACTGTCAAGGCTGGATCCTGCTGCCGCCAGGATTCTCCGAGAGAGAAAGCATTTGATAAAGGTTAGAAAAAATAAAATAAAATAAAATAAAATAAAATAAAATAAAATAAAATAAAATAAAATAAAGCCATGAGAATTACGCAAGGCACCCACTCTTTTGCAGTCCTGGAGGACCCTCTGGGGATGCCTGCTAAGAGGGGGAGCAGAGCAGACAAAAGCCGCCAAGATCTGATAATAAAATCTGTTTGGAACAGCTGTCTGCTGACAAGTATAATAAACTGTATTAATGGTGTCATTATTATTCCCTAATTAAAAGCTAATAACTAAGAATTAATTGCCTTTAAAAGATGAAGCAGTGCTATGGCGGGGATTTATCTCTGTTTTTCTTTGCTTGCCTGGCTGTGCTGATATTTTCAAGCTAATTAATTGAATCAAATCTTACTGAAAACTAATAATCTCTCTGTGTCGATTCAACCAATTGAATTAAGAGGTGTTTGCTGTGTGCAGGGTTTAAAAAATATATATGTGTGCTCTTTGCAACTCGTTACCTCGGGTGATGGCAGGCAGCGGGGCTGAGTGTGGCACGGAGTCAATAGGGTCTCAGTGACAAACTGGTGGGGAAAACTTTCTCCTGCTGTGCTAGGGAGGGAAACGGAGCATCTCAGGGCTGGCTGGAGGGATCCCACTCCTCTGGCTGTTGCAGTGTCTCCAGGTTTTGGGATTTATTTAGGGCAGAAGGGCCCAGCTGTAGCTTTCAGCTGTGTGGTCACAGAGGTGTTAACAGCTTCAGTTCGGCTGACCACAGACAACCTTTCCAAGAGGCTTTTTGAAGGATGAATGCAGCTGAACCACCTCGTGATGGGTGCCTGGACCCGCACGGGTGGCTGTGCTGAAACGCTGGGACCGGGCAGGATGACGGGCTTGGCCTCAGGGCACCTTGTGGGACTCACAGCAGAGCTCAGGGAATAATGCTGCCAGCATAGATGGATGTAAAGCAGCTGCAGCCCTAGTAAGTGGATTTTATCCAGAGAAAGCAATAAATAGATAACTACAGGTATCAGGAGATCTCCTCTTCAGAGGCTGATTAAATCTCAGATCTTCTGCTGGCGGTGAGGGATGAAGCATTGTGTTGGGATCTGATTTTTTCATCTGATGGGCAAAAAGCCGGTCATGAGCTTTCGAGTCTTCTGAGGGCCACGACCATTTGTGGGCACCAGTGTTGGCTTCCCCCAGAAGCCATGGACGGGGCTGAAATCCATTTCTCCTTCAATATTCTGTCCTGTGTGGGAAGTGCCTGCTGCAGCCCTGGCGGTGGCTTTGTCTGTGCCTGGGGCTGTGCCTGCCCCAAACCCTGCAGCTGATGGAGATGAAGCGAGGCTGAAGGCTCCCATGAACTGCCTGGAAAATTTGGATTTCTCACCCTGCAAAGCAGAGACAGGTCCCGCTTGTGCCACCCGGGATCTGAGCGAAGCAGCTCAAAGCCTCCTCGTCCTCTTCTCTCCCACCTTGAAATGCCCATCCTTGCCCTAAAAAGTACCACTTCAGCATCCCCCCTATCAGCTCCTGACGGTTGGGTGATGCTAATTGAAAGGAACCAAATGTTCTTTTTGGAAGTTCACTACACCGGTGTTAATCTTCTGTGCGGAGTGATTTTATTAAAGTTCCCCAAAGAGCAAATTGTAAATTCATTAGAGCCCGTTTTGGACCGCACCCTCCCTCATTTTGGGTTAAAAAAAAAAAGAAAAGATTAGAAGTCATCTGGGCTCCTTGATAATTAAAAAGAAGATGCTCAAACATAATTCTTAATTAAACTGTAATGAGATAAGAACTGCGTAGCCTGCTTTTAGGCTGTTGGAAAGATGCAGAGGTTCCCATTGTAATTATGTGATTTATGATCTTCCACACAAAGATGTAATTAGTTCCCCACCCCACCTTTTAAAATTTAAACATTATTTAGATAAAAAAAAAAATTATGCAGCAGTTTGAATCTGCTTTTCCAGGTGGAATAGTAATTTTTTGATACAGGTTTTTGATACAGGCTTAGTTTTTTTTTTTAGGTTTCAACCTAAAAAAAATCCCCCATAAATGTTGGGCAGCTAAAAGGTGAGAGGTAGGTACACCCCCGGAGGCTGTTAGATGTGAGAGGGTGGCAGGGGGACGTGGTGACATTCGAGGCCAAGAAATGGTGCAAGCATCTCGTACTGCTAAAAGGGGAGGAATCTGTTTGCGGGTGGCACCTGTGGAACGCGTGCTGCGATGACACCGCTCTGCGATACTGATTAGATCCCTAGATGTTTGTTTTTTTTTTTCTGCCTGTCTGATCTTTTGTGAGGAAACAAAGCGAGTCCTCAGCGTGCTTTTGCAGATAATCACCGGGGAGCTCGATAACACCCACCTCGAGTCGTTACCTAAGGACTGAAGGCAGGCCCAGAGCTGTGCGCTGGACGGCGTCGTGCTCTGCTCTGCGGGAAGGCAAGCTGAAGGTGAGCGAGGTGTTGGTGGGTTCTTTGTTTAGATGCCTTCAGAGGCTGCTTTCCAAGCAGACAAAGCGCAGGTGCCAGGCTCGGAGGGAGAGTCTGTGGGAAAGAGGGAGAGGGGGAAGAGGCCTCACCTGTGGAATAAATCCCCATGGGAGATGAGTGTGACCTCCAGACCTTGCTGCTCTGTAAGGGTAATGCTAAACTATCCCTAACAACTAAAAAAAAAAAGCCCAAGTTGCCAGACGCTGCTTTGTGAGGCTTTCACATGGCCTTAGCTTCAAAGGGCCGGGGCAGGGATGAGGACAGCGGTGTTCTTCGTGGAAACTGGAGCGTGGATGTTGGTCAGAGGCCTGCCACTGGTACAAGACTGTTTCTAAGAAGGAATTTCTGCATCGTGTGAGTCGTGAAGGCCCAAATCCCACGCCCTTGGAAGTGGCAGAGCTTTTCCAATGCCCTTCACAGCCAAAGCTGGTGAGTGCCCCGTGCTGCTGGCACGTTGGCTGCCCCCTCAGGCCGTGGGGCTTTCCCAGTGGGTCCTGCCACTGGCCCAGCTCAACCACGAGTGGTGTCTGCAGCCACAGACTGGTCCCGTTCCTCAGCGAGCACACAGCCCTCCTTTCGTAACAGCACAACCTCCTCGCTTGCCTGGTGAACAATTTTGTGAGTGCTGCAAGGAGTCTGAGCAGCACTTTGTGATACAGTCGTCACCAAAACTGGGAACCAGTTGGTTTTCTTTTAATTTTAGAAGGGATTTTGGGTTCCTAAACTTGGAAACATTGTGGGACTCTGCTCATTTCTCAGGTGCTTTGCATTGCACAACAGCTGTAGCAGATTTTCTTTTTGCTCCTCTTTCAGGTGCACAGAGAAGAAGGCTGATTGCTGGGCCATTGGTGGGGGCAGCTGCTTTGCCTGCACACCTGGTGCCACTTTGTGGGGCTCTGGGTCCCACTTTGGGTCAGTTTGCAGCAAGGTGGCTCCATGGGCAGGGTGCCTGGAACTTCCCTCTCCCTGTGTACGGAGGCTGGAGGCACAGACAGAGGTTAGTTGTGGGATGTGGTGGACCAGCAGGCGCTGCCAGCTGATGGGCAGCGATCCCACCGGCTTGTTTGGCTTTGGTGTTATCCCCTCGCCCTCCCCTGGGATGGTTTTGTGTCACCGTGCCAGTGTCTCATTAAAAAACCTTGGAGCAGAGCTGGGGGCTCGTGGCTGCTGGCTGCTCTGTGGGGCTGTGCTGGGCTTTCCCAGCCAAAAAGGGGCGGGAGGAGGGCCTGGGGGAGGTGAAATCTGAATGAGTAGTGACAAGTTTAGCAATTTCCTGAACAACACCTTGCATGCAGCTCGGGCAGAACGTTAGGTGTTTAAAGAAAAAAAAAAGATTTTTTTAATCATTTGGATACATTTTTTTTTTAGAGGGGTTTATTATCCTCAGTAAGCCTGGGCTAAAACCCTTGTGTAACCTATTAATCTGGGATTGCCATCTGCACCTACATGTGTGCTTGTATGTACGCATCGCTGTGTGCACACAGATGGATGGGGCACCCGGCGCTGTGAATCAGGAGCTGTCTGTGCTGACCGGGAGGGAGCTGCGTGTGTCTGTCCTCCACGAGACAAAGGCGTGAGGAGAGAGCGACGTCAGGGTCTGGTACAAATCACAAAGGGATCCGGAGTTACCACTCTAGTGTGTAGGTGGATGGAGAGATGAGTGGGCAAGAGGAAAATAGGCAGATTAAAGATGGGCTGGGATGAATAAATTAAGTGGCTGGGGAGGGAGCGCTGTTAAGAAATAGAAACTTTTCCCTGTTCAGGCTTCAGACTAGTTTTGAAACAATCCAGTAGTTTGCTTTTACTATGAGCAGTTCATACAAGCACCAGTCAGGCCCAGTGGTACGCATGGGTGAGGTTTGAAGCAGTCGTTGTCCTGTTTTAGGTCCTTGTGTCTGGCCTGGCACCCCTGGGTGCGATGATCAGATTGTGCTGGGCTGTGGGGGTGAGCTGTGGACCTCAGCCCAGCCCATTTGGGGCAGCACGGTGCCATCCAGCCCAGGAGGGAGCCTCGAGAGCACCCCATGACAGCGCTCGGGGTCACCCAGCAGCCTCCCAAGAGGTGCTTGGAGGCCAAGGTGCTGGGTGTGTGCCATCAGCGTGTCGGTAAGGAGGATGATCGAAGGAGTGCCAGGTTTTCTGAGCTGCCTCGTGGTGCCCCAGGCTCCTCTCCAGGCTGAGGTTGCTCTTCCTGGGGACAGCACCAGGAGCCTCCCCGAGCTGGGAATGGTGCTGGTTGTGATGGGAGCTGGTGCTGGAGGGGCTGAGGGCAGTGCCAAGAGGAAGGGACTCGAGGGGCTGGGGGCAAGGCAGCGATAACCCCGGGGGGCTTCCCGTGAGGTCCAGCAGGGCTGGGTGGTGCTTGGAGGCCAGGAAAGGTTACGGCGGCTCTCGGGGAGCAGCTCAGAGGTGTGCTTTGTGCCTGGAAGGAAGGGCAGGGGGCATTTGGGTGTAGCTGTGGGTGCAGGGATGGGCAGTGCCGTGTCCGTTCAGGTGCCTGCTGTGACGCTGCGATACGTGGTCGAATTGTTCTGGTTTCCTGATGGGGAGATTTGGGACCAGCCTCCCCCCATCCCCTTCCCAGCGGATGAACTTGTTGAGATAATAAGACAATTTTCTCAGCGCCTGCTAGGGTATTTACTTTTTCCATTTCAATTCTACATCTGTTCGGTTACTGACTTGGAATTTGCAACCATCTTATTTAGGAGGAGGAATTGATTTCTCATTCTGTTGCTGCTTCCCTCGCTATAATTAAAGCGTAGTGCAACATGAAGAATTTCTCCTGGCCTGGGAACTGGTTTGCCACTTGGGTAATTCTGTAAACCAAGAAAAGGCTTTTCCTTTTCCTCTGGAATGTAAATTATGGTTACATCTACTTTCAAGTCTTTGTTCTGCTGCAGGGGACTAAAGGGGCTCTTGGTTTAGGCTCGTGCGGAGACGTGGGGGCTTTTGCAAATCAGTCCCGTGGAGATTTGGCATCCAGGCCGATGCAAATTAAGACGGATGCATGCGACAGTTTTGCATGGTGTGGGGCAAACACTCACTGGGACGAGGCTGCTCCCCACAAACCCCTGCTGCCGAGCTCCAGCCGTGCTGCCCTGAGCTGAGCCCTGGCCCCTGTGAGGGGGTTTGGGGCCCGGCAGCCTTCCAGCAGCTGTGCTCGAGCAGGGGAAGAGTAATTTGGGGAAGAGGGAGGGCTCAAGGAGATGTTTATTAAACCGTGAAAAGAATCGGATCAGGATTTGCATGTAAATGATGTCAGAAGATGCCTTGAGACCCACCTGCTTCTGGAGAGGGCTGTACAGGGCCTGGGGTCAGGGGCTGGGATCGGGGTCAGCTCCGAGTCCTGGGGGGCAGTGGGGAACAAGGCTGCTGCTGGCTGAAGTGGCCGTGGTGCGGAATTGCCCCGCAGGGCAAAAACCCAAATATGCCCTGGGCGCCCTCCCCATGAGGACAGCGCGTGGTGCAGCCACCCCTGCAGGGCTGGGTTAGGCTCTGCGGTGCCTCTTGGCCTCAATAAAGGGCTGTGCAATGGGGATTCCCTCGTAAAACCACGATCTGCACTCTAGCCCTGATCCTCTGCGAGGGATTGTGTCCGTGGAGATCTGGAGCCTTGCTGCCGGGCCTTTTCTGGAAAAATCCTGTCTGCAATGCTTTACTCCTTCCACCCTGCACGAGCATAGCTAATAAAGTGCTGTCAAAGCTATCCGTCAGAGCTCACGTTGAAGAAAAAAAGAGGGAGACAGGTTAGAAAGCGATCTTTGAATCAATAAGAAACAAGAACCTTCCCTGCTGCCCTGCTGAAAACGGGCAGTAATGGAGCAGCGCTCAGGGTTTAATTAAAAAAAAAAAAAGCCAGCCAATGGTGGGCTGGGTTTCAGGCTGCTGCTGGCTGGCACAGTGAGCCCAGGAAGATGGAGCCTGTACCAGAAATGGGATTTCATCTGCTCGGCGCAGCGAGGCCGGGCGCCGCGGTGCAGCCCGTGTGCTGTGCGCATCCTGCAGCCCGGAATCATTTCTGCTTAATCACACCCCCAGCACGACGCTCTGTTGCGTTCAGAAACCACAAATTAGGGTGTAATTTCGGCAGCTCATGAGCACCAGTAAAAGGCTGCATCAGTGGGACTACTTAGTGCGTGCAGGTTTGTGCTCCTGGGGCCTCGGCTTCCCCGAGGCTCAGATCCTGGCCGAACGCAGAGGCAGAAGCCATAAAAGCTGCTGCTGTCCCGTGTTATGGGGGGAATCTGTGCACAGCTTGGTGGTGTACATCAGTACCGAGCATACTGAGCTGAGTCAGAGTAGCAAGAGTTCCAGCCTGGGGTTTTTTTGTGGAGCCTGGGCTCTGCAGGGCCCCTCTTGTCCCTCCTAGCCCATAGGAGCGTGTACGTGGTGCTGTGTGCTCTGTGCTCACCGGTGGTTTTGGCTTTTATGCTGGGAGCTGTAGGTACCTGAATGGGCTGGGACTGGGGCTGTTTGGTTCTGTTGGTGTTTCCTGAGCAGTGTTTTCATGCAGCTCACCCTGGGTCCTGTTTTGTTTTCCTGCAGGACATCCAAAGCCTTGGCAGGGGGTCCTGGAGGGGCGCCTGGCCATTTTGCAGCTCCTGATCTGGGCGCTGGCAGTTCCTCTGGGTGTCCAGAGGAAAATCAGAAGGCAGAGGTGTCAACAGGATTTTTTTCATGGTTATAATGCTCGTCTTTCTTGATATTCCAGAGAAGGAGAAGGAGCTGTTGTCCGACTGCTGCCTGTTGTAGGCCTATTGCTGCTACGTCAAGGTGGAATCAGTGTCATTAGGTGTCTTTGTGGTTGTCAGCCTGACTCTTGCTCTGAGATTTTATTTTGTATTTGCTTCTGTAACTGGCTCCCTACTGTATTGTGTTTTCTTTTCTTTTTTTGAAAGATTTACCTTGTCCCTAGCTGCTGTTCCAGTTCTTTGTCACTCATTTCCCCGTGCTCCACGTGGTATTTATTGCTGTTCAGTGAGAGTTTTGCATCTCTACATGGGGGGTGGTCACAGCAGCTCAAAAAAAGGATGGAAGCAAACAAAGAGACTGGGGAGAGGTGGTGGAAATGATTAGCAGCACAGAGAGACAAGAATAGTACCGCTGAGATCGCAGGAGAGCAGGTAGGCACATGCCAGAGCTACAGAGGCTGATGAAGGAAAATCAGAAAAAAAATTTCCAGCGCTTAGAAAGAAAATTGTTTTTTCCTTTCTATTCTTCAATGATGGAATAAGAGGATATTAAAAATCAATGCATTGACTGAGGCAAGGTTGATGAAAGGTACCTTTGCTGTGTTGTACTGCTAGCTGTAAGGTTTGGTGCCACGAATTATCGTCGAGTCCAAGAGATGATTAGGAGTAAAAGAAAAAATATTTACTATTCATGTAATTGCCTGCATGAGATGTTTACAAACAAGGATACTCATTTTCTCCTCCTTTTTTCCTGTGCCATCAGGGTTTGATGTGGTTTGACTCCCTGCTTGCTCTGTCACGTGGAGTAACAAAATTTTGGAGGTGATGTAATTCCCTGAGTTCACAGCTCGATGTTTGATCGCAGTTCTATGTTAACTTGCTAAGCCTTTTTTTTCCTTTAAGTGGGAGCCAAAATGCTGCTGGTGGTGTTCTAGGAGGGCGGGAGGGTTTGTGCTGGCACAGCACAGCTGTAAAGGCAAGGAGGGGGGGGGAAACTGATATAGGAATATTCTCATCATCCTGCTGCTTCCAAAAACCTGCATCTCCTGTGTTTCCCTGCGTAATGTCTTTCTGACTTGATGGGGAAGAAAAAATGTGAAGCTCAGGCTACATTGAGCGGCATGGCACCCGCAGTCCTAGTACAAGACTATGGTTTAGCTTATATGCCATAAATCTGGCTTGGATGGGCAGTTTGTGAGCACCTCATGCTGAAATTGAGACAGGATCTCAGTTCTGGGCTTTCAGTGTTGTCACCCCGTTGTGTTGCAGGGAATGGAAGCACGAGGCTCTGCCTTTTCCGGATGGTGGAGCTGTGACCTGTGCGCTCCTCCTGGGCTCTTCCCCCCAGCGCAGACTTCGTCAGCAGCGTCCCACGGGAGCCCTCCATCTGCCCTCGCCACATGCTGCAAATGTGACCATCGGCTTTAACCTCCTCCTGCTCTGAGTAAGTGTTTATTGACTGAAAAATGCTCGCCTGCAGGCTTGGTGCCATGGTCCATAGCCAGGATGGTGCCTGGACCAGCTGAGGGGTGCTGGTGGCTCCTTCCCCCATAGGCTGAGCAGGTGAGGGGACAGGAGCTGCTTCTCTTGATGCTGCTGCCCCACGGAAGGGTCAAACAAAGCAGCAGAAATGGAGGCCACTGAAGGGTTTAACCCTCAAGGCAGGCATAGCCCATGCAGCTCTGGCTTCTCGGGTGAGCAGTGGTCCTGGTCCGCTCGTGCCAACGGCCACACTGCTAGACCTAACCCAGGGGGATGCGTGTACCGGTGGCACTGCGGCTACTTGGCTAAAAGCTCTCCAAATGAGGTTGTTTCTTTGCGACTGCATGTTTGGCTTGTACAGGTGGCCTATTTTTAGAAAGAGCATAAGCACAGCAGAGGGAGAGCAACCTGCCACCTGGCTGCGTGTGCCAGGGAAAAGGGTTTTTGCAGTCGCTGCGTTACACGGAGCAGCTGCTTTGTTCATTGCCCGCTCCCAACAACAAACAGGTTTGCAGTCAGGCCTTTCAGACAATCTTCCTTTAATACAAAGTCAATATATCTACATACACAGTGGTATGAAAACCACTTACTGTTTCAGTTTGAAATAACAGTGTGAAAGCAACAGCACTTTGCTCTCATACAAAGGAAAAAAACCTCCCTCCCTCCCCCCAACTCTTCCAGTAAGGTTTTGCTGCAACATACTTAGAAATTTGGGCAACTTTCACACAGATAAGAAGTTAAATCTTGAAGAAGCCTTTCGTTCTTTTTTTTTTTTTTTTTCAGTTAAAGACAGGAAATGGATTGTTGTGGGGTTTTCTGGGTAGCACTTGATGGCAATGATAAACCCTTCTAGAAAAATAAAAAAAGTCCCAGGCAAGCAGTGTTCAGGGCAGTGCATCTTTTCCGAGACGTGCTCTCTCCTCTGCCACTTCTGCAAGAAAACTCCTTGTCACGTACACCTGTAAGCGCTTCGTATCTACCACCCAGGGCCCAGACAGAGTTGGGCTGGTACCTGCATTACACCACTGATGTTTGTAATCTGTGTATGTGCCGATGTGTGCCACGGCTCTGAAACTGCCCTCGTTTTGTCTTCAGTTGTAAGACCCTGGTGTGTTTTATTCTCCCAGTTCAGCCCTGGCCTTGTTAGGACGGAGCAGCAGGGCCACAGCTGAAGGGGAGAGGTTGGCACTGCCACCGCATCTCGGCCTGCCTGCTGATCTCCCACCCTTCCAAAGACATGTGATATGCCTGCGATTTTAAAACAAAAGAACCCCAAAAAAATCCAGAAAGGACATTTTGTTTTTACATGAGCAAGTTAAACCTTTTAAATGGTAGAAAAGCAATATGTAGAAGTAGCAATTTGCACTGCATTTTTATATATCACAGCCATTACACGTAACATTTCTACAGTGAAAAAATAGACTGTCTTTGAACATAATATGAACAAATAAGCAAATTTTTCTTTTAAATTCATTGACTGATATTCTTTGTCTTTTTTTTTAAAAAAAAAAAAAAGGAAAAAATACACTATTTAAAAAAAAGGTAATGTCACTTGTTACAGTTACATCGATACTTTAAAGAAAGCCACTCACAGTATATGCCATTGATCTCACTTGATCTTTCCCAGTTATTTATACAGCTAGGGCATGTTCGTAGCTGTGCCAATGAGCTTGGTCTGATGTGGTACCGGGACAGTCCTGAGGAGTATCGCTGCATCGCGCCCGGAGAGCTGCTGTGTCCGGAGGTGAGGGGTTGGCAGCAAGAAGCAGTTGGCTAGTGGAAATAAATTTCTTAAGGATGCTTCTCAGGCTCCTTCCAGAGAGATGCTCCTGGCCTTCTGTGGCAGGAACTGGTGGGGCGGCACAGCTCCTTGCAGCAGAAGTGGGGTTGTGTGAATGTGCAAAGAGAATGGGAAAGGGGCTGCCTTTCTGTACTGGGGTGTCCCACTGCTGCCCAATTAATGCCTCTGTGTAGCTGGATGTGCTGAAAAGGGGGAGCAGAACCAGCAGCCAGCGAACCCAGCCCAGGGGAGCTGCCACCTCTACCTGTCCCACCTGTGTGCAAGGGGAGGGGGCCACACCACACAGCCAGGTCTGGGTTCTCTCTCTCTGTCTCTCTCTAATTTTAAATATCCTAAAAAATAAATTTTGGAATTAGAAGAAATGAGGAATGTTCCAAGTATTCAAAGTGTGAGCTATAAAACCTCTCGCGTGGCAGGGGCATTCAGTGAATGCTGCTTGCAAGGTGCCTGTAAGCCCAGAATCATCCCAATGTTGATACTGAGGTTATTAAGACTCCAGCTAGAAGAACTCCTGACCCTACGTTTGTCTAAGTGTTGAGATTTAGTTCCTTTTCTTATCTTTTACAGAACACCTTCAATTCTGCAAGTGACTTCCTTTAAAGACTGCCAACTATATTAGTAAATAAACTGAACTCTAATGATGTAACCAAAGTCGGTTTCCTTCCCTTCTCCAGCGGTAACGTTTCGCAAGGTGTGTTTTAGCTTTTGGATCTGTTTCATGATGTCCATACATCTTCCACAGCGAACACCACTTGAGGTAACAAGAGCAGTTCACCACTTAAAGCAGTCCTTCAGCAATCTCCTGAGCTGCCTCTTCACGGTCCAGGTTACAACATGGAGTTCCTGAAGGGGTGTTCCTTTCAATCCTTCCCCCTGCTCCCCAATGCATTGTCCAGATGAAAAGGTACTTCTTCTGATTCAGTTTTGTAAGTTCAAGCGCTCCTCCTGGGTCAAAAGAGGCCTTCCAGGACTTAAGTGGTTGGTAAAGTCTGCACAACGGATGGCTTTTTATGTTGCATAGTGATCAAAACTTCCCAGATATTCCAAAGCTGCCTGGTAACAGAACTGGTATTCATCCTGCAAGCAGTAAAGAAAAACAGTGCTTCAGCTTCAGAGGTTGAAATTCAGAGGTTGAAACAGCCGCTCTACAGTTCCCTGCCCCACTTCCAGCTAGTGCACACCTGGGCAGGAACCCTGCACAGACCCTTTTATTCTCAAAGAGCTGTGAGCTACTGGGAAAGGAAATCCCTTTTCCTTATTGTCATGCATCTCATAGACAGCAGGCATCCTGCCAATAGTTTTCCCCTCTCTGCAGCAAAAAAAAAAAAAAAAGTGGGCTATGTTTAGAAGCAGGTGAGTTCCCCTTATCTCAGAGGCAGGATGAGATAAGAATCAAGGCTGGCAGACTGGGGTGAAATCTTTAAGAAATTTAAAGGCCCATGGTTGTTGTTATTATTACTTAGTAAAGTGAACCAATAGTGCAGCCTGGGCTTGCTTATCCTTCAGGTAAGGTTTTACTAATGGTTAGAAGGGCAAGAAGTCTGCTGCACTCAGCCAGGGCATTTAGGGAATTGGCCTGCAAAGGTCCGGGACTTGCTACTCAGGTCCTGTAAACAGTGATAAAGAAAGGGCTTGCTGCTCCCCCTTACCTCTGTTTGCACCATAGCAGGTCGTTGCGTTCGCAGCATCTTTACTGTCTGGAAAATATCTACAACACCCTCATAGCGCATTCTTTCCAGGACGATACTCAGTGTGATAAACACTCCAGTCCTGCCCACACCAGCACTGCAGCAATGGGAGATGAAAAACACCAAAAAATGGTACGTTACAATGGTCCAATGCTTTCTTAGACACTGAGGTTATGGTATGGTTGAACTAACAGCCTTGTCTTATGAACATAAACGTGTTAGAGCTGGAAAGTCTCACTGGCAAAGTGTGTGACCCAAACGAACATTTGAGAGACTGACATTAAAAAAAAAGGTTTGGGTAGCAGTGAACAGCATTCAGTGTGAGAATTATTACTAATATTTAACACTAGTTTTTTTTTGTTTTTTTAAGTAAATAGGTGAAGACTGCATTTTCTTCTGCCCAGTGGGAGGAAAGTATCTTGCTATCAGCAAACACAGGCTAGCAGTATTAGGGCTGCAGAACTGGGCTGAGACTGGTAATAAAACAGGTAAAATGCTGCAGGTCAAATATTGATTAACACCGTGATTCCTGTGTCCTGCAGGGCATCAGCATTTCATACCTCTCATCTGGATAGGAAGGGGGAAAAAGCCTTGGGGGCACTGCCCAGGTCTGAAGGGAGATGAGTTTGGTTGGCAAAATCAACAGTCTTTAGCCATCCATTCCAGCCCCACCCCATGAAATCTACCTGCAATGATGGGGTGGGAAAGGAGAGAGATGCCTGCAGGATTTTAATTCCTTTGGCTCTTTTGCATCCTCAGATAAATTAATTCAGTGTTTCCATTCATATTCGCTTACCTGCAGTGGACAGAGATGGGGCCATCCTGGCCAAACTGTTCCTTGGTCTTATGTACCTGTCCAATGAAATCGATAAAACCTTCTCCTGATTTTGGCACGCCTTGTTCTGGCCAGTCAGTGAACTGGAACTGACGAACAGTTCGTGACTGACCGTCCTGGGGAAGAAAATATTAATAGCTAAAACATCCTGTGTTTCTGCTACTAAGTACAAACGACAAAGAAAAAAACAAAACAAAACAAAAACACCACCAGATTTTACTGCTAGTTCGTTAAGGGGCACAAAAAGTCAAACCAACTTTGTGTTGGATTTAATATATCATGATGAAGCTGCTCATCTTGCACTTGACATTTCTGGAGTTGGTTTGTCAGTGCAGATCTATGCTCCTGGCAGGTGTCCTGAAAGGTCCAACCACTGCAAAGACTGCACAGATGGAGTCTTCAGCAAAGGAACATCCAAGGGGAGGTTATGGCCTCTCTATCAATCTTGAGGAAGAGTTGCCATAGTGTCAGAATTACGGCTGACAGGAAGATAAATCTTGTTCTACCAGGACTGACGAAGCATCCTCCTCCTCAACCTTGCAAATAGGATTATCAGGTTCTACAATACTGACAACCTCAACAGCAGGGAAAACTGCTTTGAGAGTGAGAGTTACATTTGCTAACCAAATCTCAGAACGAACTGAAATGTTCCCTGGGAGGAGAAATCTGACATTGAATCTAAGATTGAGTCAGTGCCCCTTTGAATCTTAGTGATAGCGTCTCTCCTTAAAACCAGAAGAGAAGTGTATGTTTTCTGTAGGGCAAAGAGTATCCTTTGCAAGTCTTTGTTTTTATTAGGTGTTTGGGGACATTCCGCTTTCCTTTCAAATAAGCTGCAAGTAAAACCCAAAGCTTGGTGAACTTCTAACAGTGACTCACTACTGTGATTAGTGAACAGAGCTTAGAAAACTCAGTTTATAAGAAAACATATTTAAGTACAATTTATCTGTGGCTGTGTGTTCCATTCCTCATCATAACTAATCTCTCATCCGCTGAGGATAATCCCAGATTTTCTCATAGGAAGAGTTTACACCTCAGTTTTTCTTATAGGAGCCAAACTCCACTGCTTTCTGTAAGCCATGTTCTTGATCACATGTGTTTGAGCCGCTCCAGTCCCCCCACCTCCAAAACTGTTACCCTTGCAAACACAGACTGCACCTTGTTCATCGCTTACCCTGGCATCGGTGACCTTGAATTCTCGCAGGATGTACTGAGGCATGTTGTATTCAGCCATGGGATCTACTACAAAGTACTGGTACCGGGCAGAACGCTCTGCGGGCCAGTACTGATGGCACTTTTCCTGCCAAGGGGAAAGAAACGGCTCTGTTAGCCCTTGGGTTGCAGGCTTCTCCCCTCCTGCTTCTTAGTGCACACTTACCCGACCCATCTCGCGAAGCTTAGTCAACATCACGACAATGGTGGAGTTGTTCTCCCATAGCATCCGCCAGAAATCTTCTGTGGTCTCTGCCAGGGGCCCTTGTGTAGCAATGTATGCCTTCTGTTGTCTGAAACAGAACACAAACCTGAGGCACGGGTCAAGAGGAGGCTACATCATGGCTCGTACCATGAGTACACCATGGCTTGTGCACATGGCTGTGGGAAGCACATGCAAAGACTGAAATACAGGAAAACAAACAGGAGTGCCGGGACAGAGCTAGAAGGGTGCAATGTCTAAAGGGGGTCTGAGGTGGTGTCTTTGGTGCTAGTGGCCAAAAAAAAAAAAAAACCACCACCACAAACTAAAACCCAAAACAACCCAAAACAACAAAAGCTTGAGTGGTGAAGCTTTTTCTAATTACTGTTTCCACAGGTGAAGGTGAATCCAGATCACACTGTTATGAGCTGTAAGCAAGAAAGAATTTCCCTCTAAACGTGTACTGTGTGCAGTACAGGTAGGTGATGGGACAGAACAGACCGGTGTTATCACCTAGTCCTAATCACCTAATCCCTTAGTGCTGCATCCTCAGAAAGCAGCCTGCTGGGTTAAGTTCACCCCCTGATGGTGGTGAGGGCAGCCAGGTGCTGGTTACCTGTAGCCATCAATAAAGCTGGCGTTGATGTAGTCTGACCCTTCCACTCCCCTGATGGGCTGAAGGCAGACCCGCGTCGTCTCATATGGCATGATGTTGACAAGGCGATTCTTGAATTTGTTGCATGGGAGATTGGCACTGATGAACCTGGAGGTGTGGGCTTTGGAGTTGGCGAGTCGCTGAAGATAAAAGCAGAGTCACAACCACTTGCTCAGCTCCTGGCTGCCCCTCATCTGCCTGGCCCCCACAACAGCCTACATAACTTGCCCTCTATGCTCCACCATTTTGTTCCACCTCACGTGCTCCCCATTTCTGGAGGACAGAGAGTGTGACACGTCCCCCCCAGCAAAACTTTCACAGCAAACATTTAAAAACCCAATCTAGGGAAGGAGCAAATTCAGTGTGGATTTGAAACAACCAGACAAGCCTCCTGCAGCAACAGTGCAGTTTCCCCTGGGAACTGCAGCAGCAGAAGCCAGAATAATTACTTCTCTAACGCGGCACCAAGAAGTTCCATCAGCCTTGTAAAGGCTCCCTGTCTGCTATGAGTGCCAGCAGAGACAGCTCCCACGAGGCACACAGAGCCTTCCCCAGTCACTACTAGCCCAGTTCAAGCGCCTGCCTTTACCTTGAACTCCAGTTCCATGCCTGTCACGTGCTCTCCAACTTCGATCTGTGCCAGTTTCTGGATGTATGTGTAGAGATTCCTAGCTGGGACTTCTGTGTTGCCGCAGGCAACAGCCTCAAGCAAGGCATCGTGTATAAAGCTGTACTGGTCTTCTGTCTGCACCATGTAGTTGCGCTGTGACCTCATGAGGGTAACGTGCCCGTAAATGTCCACTGTCTTCTCGTGTTTTATCCTCTCTAGCATGGCGTCGATCACAATGAAGCAGCCGGTCCTTCCAACTCCCGCGCTGAAAAGTAGAGGAAGAAAGCTGAGCGATGGACAACTCACCCACCAAAGAAAGAGGTTCTTTGCCACCCAAGTGAGGAGCTTTCCACTGGTGCAAACAGCAGTAATTGTGGGGTAGGAATGGACACGAGGCAGACAGTGAACAACCTGCACTCACTGGATGGGACAGAACTGAAGCCTTGTGAACACAGCTATTGAAGAGCTGAGACCAAGGAATTCTTAGCAAACCAGAACATACCCAAATGGTTTTGGTTCATCTGTTTTATGGATTTTCTTGTATTAAAGGAACTTGCTTAATCAAACTGGCTGCGTTACTTCCCACTCACCTCAATGTGTTGCTCTTAGCAAAGTTAAAAAACAAAACAAAACAAAACACAAACTGTTGGAGGATTTGGGACAGTGGAGGACAGCGATGACACCAGAGTTACTGCTGCTCTGAAGTCACCGGTGCTACAGTGGCACCTGTAAAGCCTGCACTGGCACCTAAAGGGCTGCTTATCTGAGCCCAGCCCGGGCCAGTGCTGCCACAGTGGCACAGGGAGGCTCTTGGAGTTCAGAGCCAGCAGATGGAAAAGGTCCCTCATAGTCCATGCTACTCTGTGTGCAGATGTGCTCAGGCCTAATACCAAAGGCAGTTTGCAACGTGCAGAGATTCACTTTGAGTCTCTGCTCAGGTTAACAAAAAATTCCAAAACAGAGTTTGGCCTTCTGTCACCCGAGGACCCAAGATGAAAGGTGGCCTCTGGTAGCGTGACTGTTGCCCCTCCACACTGATCTGCCCCGCTTCTCACGCCTCTTTGTGTCACATCCCCATGAGGGGAGCTCTCCTGGCAGACACACAATTACGACAATGCTAGGTAGGGAGCTTGAGCAAAAGGTTAGCACGACCTAAGGGCTTAAAAAGCATGTCTAACACTCAGATCTTTCAGCATCTGAGAAACGACTGATGTTGTAATGAGTTACATGCGTCACCCCTTTTCCTGAACGTTTTTGTGCATTGAGGTAACATCAGACTTGCATGTAATGGCATTTGTGAATCAGCAGGGCTCTGTGGGTCTGTGCATTTGCCACTGCTAATAAAGGGTCTCCTTTCACTATTCTGGTGCAGTGCCTTTTTTCATAAAGCCCCCTTGATCTCTGTTAATTAGATTGCCTAACACCTGAACCAAGCAGGTGACTGGAGCTTTGGCAAGAATTTAGCAGCTGATCTGGGAGCCGGTTCCTGCACATTGTGAGCTGACAGCTCTCTTTATTCATTTTCTGAGAGGTGCACGATAATTGCCATCTGCAAGGTTAGTGATAAGTTGCCCACTTACAAAGCCTGTTTAAATGGCATCCTCTAGGAGAGGCAGGATTAACTTCCCCCAGCAGCCTGTAAAATTCAGATGTCTTTCCTCAGTGCTGAGTAACCTGCAGGCTTCTCCACAACCTCCTGAGGAACACAGGGATTTATCTAAGTTGAGGCTGCAAGTGTTCCTCTTTGGGTTGGAAATTGAATTAGGGAATGCTACCTGCCTGCGGGGGCCTTCAGTTTGTCATATCAGAATGGCTGCAGCACTCAAAAACCCCCTCTTTCAATCAATGTCAGCTATCCTTTTGACAGCTCAAGCATCTCTCCCTCCCAAACACCCAATGCAGCAATGCCAAGCAGCTTCCTAGGTCACACTTGAGCTTCCTCCTTTCCCACTGTGACAAGAAACTACCCCTGCACAGAGAAACAGAGGCCAAACAGCACAAGGTGCTTCCTGCTGCTAGTAAAGTCTGAGTAATTTGGAGCCAACTAAACCACTCATTGCTGGAAATTCTGCACTGAATGAAAACCCCAAGTATCCTTGTCAGACACTGGCTGGGAATTCACTTTACAGGACAGCTCTTACTGGCTGGGTACTCGCTAAGAGATTAAATGTCTCTGAGGTGCAGATAAACATCCTACAGACATTTTGCCTCCCTTGCAGAGATCCCCATGTAAGAGTGCGGTGTGGGCTATCAGTACCTGCAGTGCACCACGATTGGACCAGCATCAGGGGGGTTGCAGGTTTTCACCCGTCTCAGGAAAGCCAGGAACGGGGTGGGGTACTCGGGTACACCGTGGTCAGGCCACGCTGTGAACTGGAACTGGCGGACCTCCCGCTTCTCACTGGAGCCGTTCTGCAAAGAGAGGAACACGCCAAGGGTAATGTGCAGAACCAGCACAGCACCATGCCAGGTAAGGAGGAGAACGTGCTCGTCCCTGGGAAGGAAATGGGGGCCGGAGAAAGCTCACCTTATGAAGGGAGAACGTTCGAACGCAGAATGTGGCCAACTCGATGGTGTCGAGTAACGTCACTTGAATCATTCCGTAGGTGTCCGTACCTCGGCCTGGCCAGTACTGGTCACACTTGATCTGGAAGACAGAAGGCAATGCTGAATGCTGGAACAAACCCCGGACTGCTGGAACTCATCCCCAAAGCATCCTGATGTTACAGGTGAAGCTCACAAGGTTGCGAAGGGGAGGGAAGGTGCAAGGAATGTTTCTTTCCAGAGCACCGCAACAGGGAGACACCTGGCATGGAAAGCTCCTACGAAGGCTTTGGTGCACCACATCAATCACATCAACAACAGACTGGAGTCATCTTGAAGATGAGAGTGAAAGTACTGGGGCTTGTTAAACAAGAGAACTGAACATAAAATCTGAGGTCTGCCAAACGATTAACTCCAGGACAGACCTAAGGAGCATGTGGTGGCATTGAGTGTCCTCTTCTCTTGGAGCTGCAACGGAGGCTGCAGCTTTCTGGGATGAATTTTTTAGTATTTTTTTTTTGAAGGAATGAATCACTGAACTTTCAGGGTGCTGGCAAAACAGGTAGAAATCCCCCACTGACATAAACGTGGGCTGCAGATCAAAGGAATTCACTGTTCCCCAATCCTACCCTCCAGTCCCCCAGGACTATGACTAACTTGTCATCCCTCTCATGCTCCTTACCCGTGATTTCTCCTCCAGCTTAGTCATCATAACAATAGTAGCTGAGCGCTGCTCCCACACCATCCTCCAGAAGTCCCCAAAGGTCTCTGGCAGAGGTCCTTGCGTGGCAATGTAGGCATTCTGCTTCCGGTAGCCATCAATGTAGTTGGCATTAATGTAATCACTGCCCACAATTCCTGCATTAAATCAGCAAAACCAAGTCAGTGGGATGTGCAGGACAGGACTTTATGCAGCTGGAAGCGTAAGATTTGCACAAGAACGTTAGAGAGAATTTCCCCTGCAAAACATGAGAGCCTTCATGGCTTGCTGGGTTGGAGTCACTGCAGGAAGACACTTTGCAAATTCTTCCCAGCTGAAGTTCCTGTCTTGCAAGGCCTGAGCTACAGGGAGACAAATCATTTCCTGCAGGGTATGTTAGAGAGACCAACTATCAAACCTTGAGACCATTCTCTTATTGGTGTTACTTATAGGAGCGAAAGTGCAGGCTTAGGGCTCTTGCTTTGCTGCTCTCAAATAGAACAAAAGAAGTCCTTGTCCCAAAATGCCCAGGAGCTGGGTACCAAACGCATCTGGGTGATGCTCAGCATGGTCCACAGCCTAATTCCAGGCAGTGAGCTACAGCTGGACAAAGCACGGAATAAAACCAGGCTGGATTCAGCCAGTAAAGGCTTTGAAATTACAGGCTTTGACTTGCTTTAAATTACCCGCTGTCATTTTTATTTTTTTCTATTTGCATAAGTTACAGGCTATTGAGTTACAGCTGCCTGCTCGTGTCCTTGCCTGACGGGTTTGATACGAGTGGCAGAAGGTACTGCCAGAGCGAAGAGGGTGATTGGGACATGGCAGGAGAAAGCTGCTCTGAAGTTAAAATGGACACTGGCATGCGCTGGTGTTCAGGTTCAGCTTTAGAGAGCCTCCAGGACTGGCACGGACAGTTTGCACTGTTTGGAGAGTTGGCCCCTTCCTAATTACAGCAGAGCGGTTGGCCGGGCTGGCAGGTTTCTGCTAACCTAAGATTAACTCGGTACAGAACGCTTAACTCGTGTCTCGAGGGGCAGCTAAGGGTGGGGAGCTGTACCAATATGAAATTGGGTTGCCGGTCCTCGTCCTGCTGGAGCAAAAGGCATCGCTGCTTCTATTGGCTAGGTATGATCCAGGCTGAATTGCCTGCCAGTCCTCAAGGGTACTCGGTAATTTCAGCTGCTGGTGGAAATGGCTTTTGATTAAATTTCTGGAGGGTTCCCTTCCCCCAGCCCTTCCCAAGCTGAAATTTCAGAAGGGAAGGTGGCTGTGCGGCGGCAGCAGG